ACACAGATAACAGAAAAGTCGACAGAAAACAAAGAAGGACAAATTATTAGAATTTATTAGTGAGGCAATCCCTGCCATATTTCCTTTTATATCTACTCACTTGTGCACTATCAAACACGTAGACAGATTCTTATAAGACCACCACAAATGAAGTATCTGGGTAGCTGTACTTCCTTTCACTACTGTGTTGAACATATTTCATGTACCAAAACAACCATATTCAGTTGTCACCTTTATTAATAAAGTTTTATCCCTTCATGTCCAAAATGGAGCATTTTGTATCAGCAACTCCACATAAAAAGGATGAAAATCCTAACACTGCAACATCAGAAAAGCTAAGTAAGTGCAGCACTACTATTCTACTGTTTCCTACAATTTAATTCATTCTAGTGAACTTAGTACTTTTACCCATTTGGGTATTTATGAAGCATATTTGTAATTTCGTGCTGAGGTGTTCAAGAATGCTCTTGGCTTCTTTAAACAGGCATTATGATGAGAGATCCAGAAGTGTTATGCAGACATAGCTCTAACAGCGTTCTTGTTTCTAAATACTGCAGACATAGCTCTAACAGCGTTCTTGTTTTTTAAATACATAAAATTTATATTTGTGTCACCCCAGCCACAATAGCATTGTTATTCCATATAATAATTTACCTGATTTTTGTTTGGATTCTCCATAAAAACACACTGCTTCATTATGTATGAGACAACAGCATTGCCCCCTAAAGCTGCAACATGAGCTCTCACCATTGCAAACACTTCAGCAATAAAAGCATGGAGAAAACCACTGACACCACCTTCCTAAAATGGAGAAAAAAAACCAAACCAAGAACATTTTATGTTAGGCACTGCTACAAGATGCTGAATACTTTTATTACATTTTTATCAGCTGAATATTTCAGTGAATCCTAAATGGTATATTGTACAGAACTCAAAAGCTATTCACTGTTTAATGGGTCACAGTTAAAAATCAGACCAATGGAACTTACCGTTTGAGGAAAAGAATCAGAAGTAGGTTATTCATTTGTAACTGGTATTCTTTGTAGTCAGTGTATTACATATACTCATACTTTTCAGACATTCCTACACCTCTGCAGGAACATGTAATATACCACTGACAGCTGAATAATGAGTTTTTCTTTCATCAGAAAGGATACTACCCATTTTTTTGAAAACCGGGACGCAGATAAAGAATAATTTCTACTGAGGATTACGAGAGATTCAGACTTCTTGGAAATTACTGGTAAGGAGTGGCCGTTACTTTTGGTCACTGCAACTTCATGTATGCTAATGACCGTCATTCGTTCTCAACATTCACTAAAGAAATGATCCCTCAAAATACAAAGTAAGCAAGGGACAGAGCAGAGACTTGACAAGCAAGCTATTCAAGTTTTTTTTCCCTTGAAGCCCAAAAGAATTTCTGGCCATCCTGCTTAGTGAAGTTTTTTGACTTAATGGTGCTTGTGGGGGATTTTTGCTTCTTTGGTGCCGAGCTGAGTAATTTAAATTGCTGTGAACGGAGAAGGAAAACAATGAAGCATGTTTATTTTCTAGACAATACTTATGAAAGAACATGAGCAACTACATTGGCGGGGGGAAACCCAACACACAAAAACCAGGCAACCAACCAAAAAAAATAAAAACCCACAGAAAAAACCAAGGAAACAAACTGATGAAACAGAGCTCACTATTGGTTAAAAATATCTGTAAAATTTCAAAATGAAAGTGAAAGGCAAGACCACTAGACTTCCCACGTGTGTGTGCCACTGGAGAAAATGAAAGAGGTAGGTAGAAGAGGGGGCTAACTAAGCCAAACTTCAACAAATAAGGACTGCCCTCATATCTGCTGGAAAAAGTATGATCTGCCCTGAACAGACTCATAAAGACATTAGGAAACGTATCTTGGGAGGAAAATTAACAAACGAAAGGCAAGTATAATTCCACCAATCCGAGCATAAAGCATGAATGAAGTCAACTGCAGCCAGAAATCAAAATTTCAATACAAGTTTGTCATTCCTCGTGACATTTTGATTTTGTCCAAGTGTTTTAATAGTTACAGCAACTGATGGGGGGAAAAAAAAAAATATGTAATATCATAAACCTAATACAAAAGTTGATGACAGCAGTTAACAAAAGATTATAAATATCCACCTGTAAATGGCAAAACCTAAAAGCAATGGATAAATTTGACTTAAAATTATCATTAATTTTTGAAGCACAGTGCCTGGTATATACTTCAGCTTATGAAAGCGTTCATAGGGCCTCAATATTCTGTAAACTACCATAAGCAAAATATAAAGCAATACAAACATAAACACTGCTAATTATTTTTCTGTAGAATCTGAAACACATTGCTCAAGTTGGATATAATGACCACTCTGTTTTGACCCTGTTACAGCCTCAGGGCAATACTGTGCAACTAGTATTAAAACTGGTTTGTGACTCAGCCTGTGCAGCTGGAACAGATTTAAATCAGCTGCCCTGGGTGCTAGACATTGCAGACTGACAGTAGCACAGAAACTGTACAACCATCCCAACTTTATGGAGGAGTTGAATCAAATACTTGAGCAACCTACCTCCGCTGAGATTGGCTATCGTAGTTACCAAAGCTTGCTTATCAGCTATTTAATCTGTATCTACAGAAGCTGCAGTTAGTACAGAAATGTCATGTAACCATTTCCCTCATCATACCATATACATCCTTTTCAAATGCTGTCCTTTTTGCATAGATTTCTCAAGTTAAAAGGGGCCGTAACTTGCAAGATCCAAACAAGATGTTTGTCTGATCAAAGTTCCTCTGGAGAGCTCGCAACTCATTTTTATGAAGGCTGATCATTTTTATTAACATCTGCTACGTAGTTTTATCAATGTGTAATTAACAAGAAACAGCATACTCTTCAGCATTGACAAACCAGGCAAGAGGTACATTCTATTTCTGTGGCTGGAAACTGTAGCAGAAGGATGCACCTACTTCCCAAAAGGACAGAAAAATGATAAGGAACACGTCTTGCGTTTTTGCATTCTCAGAGGAGTATCTGTTGTCCAGATCCAGACTGGAGATCATTGTTTGAGTATCACTAGCTACACCCTGTAAGCTGCTTGTGTGGTTATATACTCTATGGCACGCTTTTTAGATGCTCATCACACAGAGCTATGTTACTGAGAATGCAGAGAATGTTATATTAAAAATCAGCATAAATATTATATATGATATGGGAAACCTGGTATTAACCAAAGAATTCTAAAATCCAAATACACTGTGAAAGTTCATCATTGAGCTTGCTAAATGAGAGAAGAATGGATTTTTTTTTTTTTTTTTTCTTTTTTTTTTTTCCATTTAAATTAATCTCGGGTTTGGGTTCAAATGATCCCAACTACCACTGCTGGTCAAAGACCTATTTTTTCCAAATAGTTCTGTTTAAGAACTCACTGGTTTAGTGTTATATCCAAATTCAACAACAATGGCAATGGTTAAGTAATCCCTTTCTAACACTGCTAAACACAAAGCAGCTCTATATGCTCTATGACAAGAGCAGTGCAATGTGACTTACTCCCCACTCAGCACCTCTCTCAAGTGACAAAAAACTCTATTCCCTTGCTGTGCCATACCTCAACTCAAACCTCTTCAGATATTTACTTGTGATTGTTATGATTAACAAAGTGTGCTAATCCCTGATATACAGCTCACCTCACGCAAAGAAGTGGTTTCTCGTATAAAAAACATGTTGATTATCCCAAGATATTTGGTTATTTTTGCCCCAGGTAGAAAAGAAAGAGGTGTCATCTTAACAACTGAGACGGTAGAGTTGGTGCATGATGGAACAGAACGGTGCCGTAAGTATCCCTCAGCCAATGGACTTGCTTTATCAAGTGAAGCAGCTAAAAAGATGGAAAAAAAGAAGAGAAAGTAACTATCAAGTAAGATCGATCACTGTTTCTCAAAACACAAAAACTCTTCTTTATGGTTTCCAAATAGCTTGGTGACAACATTCAGCTGCCTGTGATGCTCAGCCATATCATGTGAGAAAGGAAATTATCATGCAATGCATGCAAAAGGAGACAAAAAGCTGAAATGGAATTTATTTGGAAGAGTGGCATTCCTGCAAAGGAAAACATTGAGGCGAGTAGCTGCACATACAACAATCAGTTATAAAGTGAAGGTAAAGAAAAAAGTGCCAACATTTTGGAATACGTATTCTGCTGGAGGAACAAATTACAGGAAGTGTGAAAGTTGTTGTGTTTCCCCAGTGCAGCATTTTCCATTAAAACAGATATTAATCTCTGCTAATTTAAGCAAGATAGTCAGACCTGCGGCCAAAGAACTACTGAAAAATAACTCACCACTTGCTAATTTAGTGACCATTGCCTTGACTGTCACCTTGGTGATTGCTTCCTGTTTCTCACCCAAAATTTTCCAAGATCATACATACACCTACATCCATGCAGTGTATGTTATATAATTAGTAGGCGTACACATTCATTGGTAACTAATTTTTACTAAGTGAACAGAAATACTGTATTTTGCTTTTTATGATACTGGTTCATAAACCCTGTATTAGTTAACAAGACATTAACAATGTCGGCAGTTTTCACACTCAGGTATTCATTCTACATGTGATCTGCAATACTATTGCTGGGCAGGAAACTCCACTATTCACCACTGGGAAATCAGAGATATGTCTCAGATTATCATAACGTGGTAGAAACAGCCGCCTACTTGTCTTAATTGATCCGCGCCTTATGGTCTGAGCTTTCAGTTTAATGAGCTCTATCCAGCTGTTGCATCTGTCTGCAAAGGAACTGTAATCAATTGACGTTGCTGAAAACACAGACAGAAAAACAAAAGAAAAAACAAAGAAAAAAAATATGGATGATGTCTCTTGCTCATCTCAATGCTCCTTTTGAGGAAGCAATTATTTGTGTCTGAGAGAGAACAAACATCCCTTTCCAGGTCTGTTTAAAGGAAAAGTTACAGTATAGGTTTGGACTTGTCCAAACCGGTGTACCGATTTCTGGTGATGTCCCAGCTGTGAACCAACTGCCTGACTGGGACTTCATCACTGAAAAAACATGCAAATACAGTCATTAACGACTTATGCTCGATTATTTTTTTTTAATCTCATTTTAGGTATTAACTTCTGGCTTCTTTAACTTTATTTAAGCCTTGTTTAATTTTAATTTTCATTGCTATTCTTTTCCTCACGAAGAACTGCTGATCGTGATTTAAACTTCCTATCTATCTTTATCAATATCTGACCTACAGACTGAAAAAAAGCTTTGGTGATGAGGATAAGAGTCACAAGCTGAAACAACACCTCGGTTTTAAACACAAATGAATTTTCCTTCCAAAACGCTGTCCTCCTTCCCCCAACATCCCCCCCTCCAATATCCCCCACCCAATTATCATTACAGTGAGAAGCAGAGTTGTTTCTGCTATGACTTTTGGTATTAGTTGCAGGGGTGTTTGCGTATCTTTAAAAAAAATAAAGTTTTGCAAACACCGTTTCTTCATTATCTTGAAGAAACGGAAGAACACATGCTAACTTCAAATTAACACAAGCAAAAAAGCTCTCTCTCAAGGAACTAATTTTCTGTCAGATAAAGTGATATCAATATATCTGACAGAGACACACTGTTGTTATTAACAAATCTGACTTTTGTAATTAAAAAACACATCAAAATATTATGACACTGTTAAGCCACACCAGAGCATGCATTCTCAGTTAACTAGTACACACTTCCTGGATTAAGACACATCCAAAAAGAGTATACCAATCCCAAGAATATGCTCATTCTGTTCTGGCATATGGCTAAATTAAGTAAACTCACCTCTCTGAGCAGCAGGAATACCTGTGTGGGAACTTGCACCCTCCAGGACTTCTAACAAGATAAAATTAATTCCATTCAGATAGTATAGGAGCAGAGTCATGTAGTACAGGACAACAGCTTTCTTCTTATAAAAAATTTTTTTTAGAGTAAAATATGAGAAAAAAATCTTCTATATATACACTATACTATGTACTTTGATAGCACATAATAAATTGGTATAAATAATTAACTTCACTAAATCTGCCTTGCAAATTATAATACGATCATTTACTAAAGGTCATTACTGTATAAGGTTGTATACAAATATTTTTAAAATAACAATCTTACAGAAAAGTATGTAAAAAAGGTATCAATATATTAAATAAGCTGCTAAGTAAATGTAACTACAATGAAACCTCGAGTCTACTTGTGACGAAATGACAGATGAAATAACTACCTAGTTGAAAGCCTCTAAGGTGATGTACAGTACAATAGGGAATGTGAAGAACATCACAAAAAGTGATATATGTGGACAGGCTACCCTCTACTGGTCAGTGCCCATTATACAAGTAGCACTGTCTAGTAACAGTGAAAAAGACACCAGTCAGGTATTTCTGGATAGCTCCTCTTTTTGAAAATGAAAGGTTAACAGTATCATGTCATCTATTAAAGTTAAGCACACACAAATGCATAAAAATAAAAAAAATACAAAGAAATAAGAATATTATTGCTGAAAATACAAATAAATGCGGTAGGGACCCTCCTTTACACAACTTACGTAATGGGCAAAAAAGGGAGCTCTAACATTTTAGTAAAAGAACATTTACAATAATTCACAGACATTACATTTCCTATCACTAGCCATTTTGGTGGGTAGATAATCCAACAATGGAGAAGGAAGTAAAGACAGCTGATTTCAATTAATGACGGCCTAATTTTTAATACAGTCATAGAACAATTGTGACAACCATTCTTGAAATGCAGCTCTATCTCAGGTAAAATAAAGCAGCTGTTTAACAGCTAAAACATGCTGCACTGTACAAATTGTTTACTACGCAAGTTTAGGCTCCTTTCACTTAAAAAAAAAATTACAGGCAATTTTTCTCAGCTGAACAACCAGTATTTGCTAGATAAAGTATTTCCCACCGTGAAAACTATGAGATTAATTTAAGGCTGACAATACATGGAGTTATTTTATATGGGCCATTTACAGAAGCAAAGCAGTATGAGGCAAGCCTAATTATTAAGTAATTTATAATTCTTTAAGTCAAATGACACCCAACACCCAGTGGTTTGCAGCATTTTCAATACTCTAAATGCAAAGATAGAGGAAATCTATCTAGACAGGAAAGCTACAAAAGAATATATACAGAATGATTAGCCAACCCATCTTATGTGACTCTCAAAAAAATTTGACTTTAGGAGCGAACATATCCATTATGCTTAGGTAGCAAAGAATATTTAAAGCATGTGAAAGTACAGATATTTTAAAGCTACTCCAACAATGAAAGAGCAGAACTCAAAATCAGTAAATAACAGTAGTTCAGCATTCTTCCATTTAACTGACCTTTAGCTGGTGAGAATGGTTGAGAAGCAAGGGGATCAGAGCAAAGTTCCAATGGAAACTGTAGCTGTTCTTCATTGTCTGTAGATGCTTCAACAAAGAAAACATACCCGATTGATAATTAACCCCCAAAATAAGATTTGCCAGTAAAAATAAGCACTACAGATTCAATTTAGTCAGGTCTGACTGGAACAGATTTTTTCACCGTATGCATATAGTGATGCGGTTCTGCATAAACAGTTAGATGTCTGACAATAAATCCAGCTGCAAAATTGAACAGAACCTGCGTTCTGTTGAACAAGATTTGATTTGGTATTTTCAGGAAAAAATATTAAGTCAATTCATGTATTTTAGATTTGATTCTGCAGTTGGATCTGAGTTAGCTATACATTAAAGTAAAAAGTAATGTGATTTATTTCACATAAAAGAAAACAAACAATTTACTGTTACTATTTAAGAAGTAAGGTATAACTAATGTTTTAGAACATATGGCTCTGTTCTACTACCGAATTCCATTCTTCAGAATGGAGTATCTTCAAAGTTCTGTTTAAATTCCCATATCCAGATTGCATACATATATTTCTAGCATAAGATGGTGCTTCATTAGCAAGATGACATACACAGATTGCAGTAGTCTCTTCTATTCCCTCCATAATGCTATATGCTTCACTGATCTCCAAAAATATTACTGACCTACTTAAGGGTTTTCTGGAGGTTTTTTTGAAGTATTATGAATAATTTATTTTCTTCCTTCTTGAAGTAAGGACAAAATTTGCTACTTATAAGAACAAGTATTCTCTAATGACTTACACCACGTGTTTCAAAATACAGGGGAAATGTCATCATCTGTTAAAATAATTTTTTAGAGAAAAATATTCGAAGAAAGGTGGTACATGGAATAAGGAAATAACAAACACTTTTTTCATGTTACTGTAAGTTTGTTGATTACGTACAAGCAAATATCTAATACTTGATAAGTCATCCTGCTGGAGGTCACATATATGAACTCTAAAAACCTCTATGTTATGACTTCACAATTTTATAGAACTTCCCTGTAAAAATGTGTATATGTAACTGAAATTAGAATGTAGACTCATTATGTACTGGGGAAAAAAAAAGGAAAGAAAAAGATTATCTCTTATCTTTACATGCCTCACAACATTTACCTCTTTGCTGTGATTTTTCTGTAGGGACTTTGTTGGCTTGTAATGCTTGGTTTTTGTCAAATGTAATTGCAACAGCTGTGACTGCAATCTGATCAGAAATAATATATGGCATATTAATCTCTTGTGCAATCTGCAAAAATAATTTTGCAAAAAAGCCAGCTTTTTCCATAGAAATTTTATAGAAAAATAAGGGGGGGGGGGGGAAATCATCTCAGTAGACATATTAAAAACCCTTCACAGCAGAGCATAAAAGGTAATACTAAGGTCCGATGTTGGAACATACACCTAACAGTGTTTGTCCCACATTTATGATTTTGTTCATCAGTTCTTTCCTTCTTTCTTGGTGAACCAACACAAAAAAGAATCATAAAAACTCATTATCATTGTATTTGTAAGAAAGAGAGAGATGTTTAATTGATCACAAGAATGATGCTATACTTCTAACAAAAACATTTTATTTAAAAATAATGAAGCATATTTCATCATCTTGAAACTGAAAGGAAAAAAAAAATCAGACAATTATAATGTCAGCATACTTAGAAAACTAGTGTGCCATATTCTTGTAGTGTATGTGGTTACACCTTTTAATGTATATCTAGTCAGCGCTTTTCATTTGCCATCTAACTAAAAAGATACACACTATTAAGATGCACTGTGCTCATGAAATGCCATGTAGTCCCATGATTCTCAAAACTGGTGAACTCCATAGGTCATCCTTTTTCTTCACCGAAGATTACGGCCCTAAGTTTTACTTCAGAATTCACCAGACATACTAGTAAATGAAATCCTAGCCTAGTTTACTCTGAGCAGCAAATGTTAATTAAAGGCCAAAACTGGCATGCCTACATGCTGAAAGTCAAAAGAAGCAGTTTACTTACTTGAACTAATTCATCTTCTGGTAGAGCAACTGTAAAATTTACATGACAAAGGCAGCAGGGAACCATAGATCGTAGTTTAAAATATAAGCTCTGTTGAAGACAAGAAATTATTTGTGTTACGCTAAAAAAATGCATGGTTTATTTCAGAGAAATTAAAGATCAAAACTCTTTTCATAATAGAAATCATCTAATCATAGTAATTTTTTCTTGAAGAAGAATTACAAGCGTGAAAATTCAGGATAGAATGCAATCTACTGTGTAGCAGTCTTTCTATTTGTTTCTACAGTACGCTACCAATCAAAGGACTCATTCCAATTCAAAAAGCTTTGGAAATCCTTAATATACTAAGAAGGCTGAATCTATCTTTAGAGTAGCTTGCAAACTAATTACAGACACTTTGTAGTCTAATTCTGAAAAGTAATTATGAAAAAAATGTTATTTTCAGTATAGCCTGATTTTACTTCGCTTCCATTTGAACAATTCAAAAAATGTTTGAAATAAGATTCTTACCTTCAACAGATTCTCACAGAGATCATTAAAGTTCTTATTGAGTGTTTGATTTGTTAGGTTAATGTTGCTTAATCTGGATACTCTTACTGCTGTGAACATCTGAATTAGAAACAAACACACTTATTTTTTTTCCAATATATGCCTGTATGTTATATTAAAAACAAAAAAAAAATCATAAAGAAGGCAAATAATGCATAACATGGGGGGCAGGGAGAGGGAGGGAAAGAAAAGGAAAAAACTGTAGCAAGAGTAAGTCAAGTAAAGTGCTTATTGCTCATGAAATTTTACAAACAAACGGCAAGTTTTCTGTGAACTAATGTATATATGAAACAAGTGATTAAGCAAGATATGAAATACTCTATGTTCTTTTTACTTGCTTCATAAAGGAGTCATTCTACCTGCTACGTATTTTGTTAACTGCTGTTGAAAATTATATGTTAATTATGTACAATAATGTAGACAATAATGGAATGTCATATACAGATACACAGGCAATCCCATCAACCTGAGAATATGCTGCTGGTGCAGTCATATTGTTTTCAGGTTGGAGCTGTGCCTCTGCAAAGCACAGTCTTGCATTGTGCCAATTAGGTGTAAAAGCTCGCTCAGATAGATCTGTTTTAACTCTATACGAGACTGAATTGTGTTGTACAAACATGACCAAAATATTTAAACTTAATTATAAATAGAAATTTTTCTCTACTGACCGGACTGGCTATATCTAATTCTTATTCATCTTAACCCACTAATGTTATATATGCAGTATCTCATACTAAGTAAGTCAACAATTGACTGGATTGGCTTTATCTAATTCTTATTCATCTTAACCCACTAATGTTATATATGCAGTATCTCATACTAAGTAACAGTCAACAATTTGTTTCTTTTAAGAGGCTTCAAAATCTAGCCAAGCTCTTAAAAATGCCCAAAACCTTAAAGTTCATATTTACTGTAATTATTTTCTAATTTTTGTATTTTTGTACCAGGTTCTCTGTTACATAACAGCATTGAAAAAAAACACAAACAAATAGATTCTCATACCATATTTTTCTTACTAAAATACTGCTTTTATTTCTAACACAACAGTATCCTTTTAATTTATCTTTCAAAATTAGTGATCTCTAACGTATATTTAAATTACTACAGCATATTTCAACACAACTTGGAAAAAAAGATTTCATTTTCTTTGAATAACCTTACTTGAATTTC